GGAATCATTTTTTATTCTGGCTAGACATTTGAGGGCTCTTGATTTGTTTTTTAATATTTTTGCTATTCTTCCTGAATGGATTGTTTTACGAAATATTGGGCAGGATAAAGAAGATGCATGTTGGAATTTTATGTGTTTTCCTTTTTTTAAAAAAATAGCAGTTTTTGCTACCCATGGCCCTTTGGGCTGAGCAAGTAGATAATTGTGAGTTTGTTGAAAGGTGGAATGTCACATCCTGGCGTGGGGGGTGGGGCTTGCATACCGCAGGGGCCGTCTCCCGGCCTTTTTCTTTGTCAGCAGCCGCCTCCTTCCTCTGGAGACTGGGTGACAACCTCAAAGGGCCTCTCCCCACTGGCTACTTGTTTCCCTGCTTTTCATCCCAAACTCTTGTCTTTGGAAGTGAATGCTGATTAGCTCCGGGCAGGTGTGACCTGCGTACAGGCCCCCTGGCAGCTGTGAATTTGTTTTCCATTTAGCAAATGTATTAGAATAATTTTCAGAACGTTTCTCGTTCTGAAAGCCTCACCCCGCCCCCTTTTTAAATCCCAATTGTGATTGCCTGGGAAATGTCTGCTCGGTAACAATAGCATTAGCGGAGAATGTGAAAATATGAACTGTTAAAAAAAAAAAGAAGAAGAAGCAACACTGCATTTTAGGGGCTGCTCCCGACTCAGTGAGGGGTGTCTTCAAAGTTGAGGTGGGGCGGGATGAATATTCCTGCGCGGTGCAGGGTACTGGCCAATCAGGTGATCTTGGTCCGAGGAGTAGAGACGCTCGCATCCTGGGCAGGCATTTTCTGCTTTGTTATAGATTTTTTGCCTCTTTTGGTTCTCCCTTTCTGGAACTTTTGCCGGCTAGCCAGGTGGAATCAAAGCATGCATTCTCGTCCACCGTTGAGCCTCTGACACCATCGCAGACAGCGCTGACGGGATGTGGGTGCTGCTCTGGGCTTGGACTGTCGCTGCCCTTTCTGTGTGCAGATGCAGCTGTGGGTTTTGACGGGAGAGCCGGCATGGGCTGTCTCTATGAGTGGATGCTCTCTTGGGAGCGGGAAGGCGTTCGGTGCGCTGGGAGTATTTTAAGAAACTTCTGTTTCTGTGCTGAACACGTCAGGTGGTAGAATTACCATGAGAATATATTCCTGATGATGTCTGCACTGTGGAAAATAAAGCGCAAGCCCAGGATTGAAAACAATGACAAGTCCGGTGATTCTGTGTATCGGTCCCTGCATCTGGTGAGCACGCTTGAATCCTACCTTGCTAGCTTCGTTCAGGTTGCGACTTGGCTGCTGAATTCGTTTCCCGATCCGGAGGACAGTGATTATGATTGTCCTATTTCTCCATATCCCATCCTTTACCCTCGAGAGCTGGGTGTTGGTGAAAAATATATATTTTAGCATGGGGGTGGGGCGTCAGTCGTTGGAGTGAAGTTGACTTTGCTTAAGAATCTTTACATTTATATTTTCCTTCTCAAATGGCAGAAAGATGTTTTTTGTTTTTTTTTNCTTTCAAAAATTCCATATTTGAAAGTAATTTTAAAATGTATAAATTTAGTATTTACAGACGGAAAGGCTTTATGTTGCTGGTTGTTAAATAAAACACAGATGAGTGGAAATATACATGTTTCATTTAACATAAAAAAAAAAACCCAAAACTTGCTTAAAGTTATTTTTAATGTTTGTGGGTCTTACCTTACTTTTACCTACTTTTGGGTCGGGGGGGGGAGGGTCAATCGCTCTCAGAAAAAAAAAGGCATGTCCATACTGAGGTAAGATATTTTGAAGGGTATTTAGTTGTATTGTTATTGAATCTAAAAATGTTAATTCTCAATTTCTAGTATGAATTAGGAATACAGCTATTTTCCCGGTTGCTAAAACTTTTCTTTCTGAATACTTTTAACTTGGATCATTTTTACTTCCCTGTAATAGCCCAGTGTTCTCATCCCCTTGTGGGTTTTGAGACTGTTTCCACTTTAAATATAGTGAGTCATGAGGTCCTACACGACCCCTCTATAACATTAGGTTCTGTCTGGCCCTGGAGAGGAAGGAAGGAAGCAAGCGGCCTCAGGGTTTTGTGGACTGGCCCCTGGCGTCTCTCTGACTTCCTGGTTCTTTCTCCAGAGAGCAAGGCCCTAAAATTCACCTGGAACAGACAAGGTCAAATGCCGGTACAGGCAACA